TCAGGCTCTAAGTGACGGTGGAGGCGAAGGCAGAGTGGAGGAAAGGTCGGGTTTGAACCATCTTATTTCCCCAATCTCTAAGGAAGAGCCCCTTCCCAAACAGGGCCTCGCCCTGGTGCAGAGAGAGGCGTTAAGGAAGCAACCGTAAAGGGGAAGAGGGTGCCCCAAATCTCAGCAACCAAGAGTCCTCACTGACAGGGTAGTTAAAAAAAATAAAAAAGGAATGCCAAAGATTCATGAGAAACTATAACACATAAAAATGAAACTTCCACATGAAGACAGGAACGGGATTCCTCATTTTCCCTTTGGCCTGAGGCTCTAGCGCGGCTCTGCGGGGCATCGTTACTGAACTTGTCTTTATTAAAATTCTCAGCGCATGGTGTGTGTGCGATTGTTTGAGTTCATTTTGGTTTTTGGAAACTTTGTGCGAGCAGATAGTTTATTTGGTGGCTGAGTATGTGACGCCCTCTTGAATTTTGACTTTGCCTCTCTCACTTTACCCTCACGCCAGCTCTGCAGGAGTGAAACACATCCGTCTACACATGCACCAGGGACATCGACAGTGATAATGAGGCCCAGAGAGCGCTTAAACTGGGGGAGGTTGTTTCTGGAATTTGGTAAAGAATGTTCCACTTCTTGGATTAGAGTGAAAATGTTTTGCTTTTTATGGTTGTTTAGGGTTGTCAGGATGTGGGGTTCATGATGAGAATCTGACTTATTCCTTATATTCTGTGACCAGGATTGGCTGTGTAAACTTCAGAGCAAATCGCAAAATGAAAACATGAAGGTCCTTGTTCAATAGGCAAGTCCTTGTTCAAACTTAGTAACAATTTTAAGATGGTAATGGCAGAACATTCAACCAAGGGTGGGGTGCTCAGTGGCTGAGCTCCTCAGACCCCAGGAAGGCAGCTCTGGCTACGACTCAGGTGAACATGGATAAGTGTTAAAGAAGCTCTGAATATCAGCGCTGGATGGGGACTCAGGTACTGTCTAATTCACCCCCTCTCCCATTTTACAGAGGGAGAAACTATAGCCGTAGAGAAGTCAGGTGTCTTGCTTAAAGGTGGGTTAGAGGAGGAACTCAGGTTGATCCTGGGCCTCCCAGGCCTGGCTGTTTCTTATTGTACAACTAGATCACTCCAGCCTTGGGGGCATCACATCTGAGGGAATCCCTGACCTTCTGGAAGATCGGCCTGAAGGGGTGGGGAAGATTCAGATCTCCGGGTCTTGTTCTAATGACCCCAAGAATGTATTTTCTGTAACAGGACATTTTTCTTAAAAAAATATATTTATATATAATATATTATGCATATGTAATATATATGTATACATAGTGTACTATACACACACACACACACACACACACACACACACGGAGAGAGACAGAATTTCCCTGCAGCCATTGAGCCAGATGAAGTGTGTATATAAATGTGAGTCCAGGTGTGACAACCATGTCACCAAGGCTGACCCACAAGTGTGCCAAGCACTACTAGATCCCTTGCCCCCATCACATCCCATTAAACCCACCAGTGGGGACCTGGGTCCTCCTTGAATGCAGTCCCACCTGCTGGGTGCTCTCTCTGTGGAACCTGCGTCGGGCGTTGGGCGTCCGTTCGGTCCGTTCAGTCTGTTCGGTCTTTCAGCTGCTGTTCAGGAAGGCCTTCCCAGGGCTGGGACGACCCCAGGATCTGGCAGACCACAGCCTTGCAGGTACAAATAAGAGATACCTGGTGAAATGTGAATTTCAGGCAAACAATGAATCATTTTTACTTTAAGTATGTCCCATACAGTATTTTTTAAAAAAGAATTATTTAGTTAATTTTATTGATCGATTCATTTATTTCAATTTGAACAGAGAGAGACACAGAGAGAGAGAGAGAGAAAGAGGGAGAGGGAGAGTGAGAAAGTCCTGGACTTGAACCGTGGTCAGCCACATGGGAGTGTCCAGTGCCTTAATCACCAAATCACCTGCTGGTCCCCTCATACAGTATTTGGGACATAACTTATACCAAAGAAAGCATTCATTGTCTAAAATTAAATTGAACTGGTTTTCCTGTATTTTCGTTGTTATTATTATTTTGAAATTTGCTATAGGGCACATTCGCTCACAGGAGAGAGACAGGAGGGGGGTGGGGTGAGAAAGCATCCCCCAGGGAGATGGCCGCGCTGTAGTCCCTCCTCCATTCTCCTTTCAGGATTTTGGGCATGCGTGAAAATGTGCCTGGCGTGTTTTTCAAGGTCCAAGACTCAAACTGCAAAGTCAGCCATGTAGGATCCAGTCGTCGGGGTACAGGCTGGCCCATGACTGTCCTGCACCTCTGTTTGCTAAATCTGACAGCTCTAGATGCTCTGGTGGAAAAGGCAGACAAATATCTCTGCCCTGTGGGCTTACATTCGAGTGCGAGGAACAGGCAATAGACAGATTAACAAATATATCTATGAATAAAATATGCCATACAGATAAGAAATATGAGGAACTTAACGCTGGGTGAGGGGACAGAGGGTGCTAGAGGAGGCCATTATTGTGGGAGCTGGGAGGGGACAGCTTATATAACGCCTTGTAGACCAAAGTCTTGTATTTAATTCTAAATTGAGTGGGAAGCCACTGGAGGGGTTATTGGATGCATTTTCTTATTTACTATTATTATGTTCTAATTTGCCAGAGGGTGTGTGCACTTGCCAGAGTGAGACAGAGACAGAAGGGAGAGGAAGAAAGTACCCCCAGTGGAGTATGGGCATGCTGCAATCCCTCATTGGCACGCTAGGTGGTCTTCCTGCTTCAACCTTCTTCTCCTGCAGTTTTCTCTCCACTGAGACTGAGTGGTTCGAGTCCTAGACCTGATGGCTTGAAAAACACGCTGGGCATGTGTGCTTGAGTGTCCAAAATTCTGAGAGGAGAATGGAGAAGAAGGGATTATGCTGGGCCACCTCCCCACCCCCAGGGGGGTGATTTCTCACTTTCCCTCTCTCTGTTTTTCCTTGGTGAGCACATGTGCCTTACGGCAAAAACCTTAAAAACAAGCAAACAAACAAAAACACATACACACACAAAACCTTCTCAAATATAATTGTGTCATACATGGCTTAACATGCTTCAGCCATTCCTCACTGCTCTTAGACCCAAAATTCTCAACGTGGTCCCTCAGGCCCCAGTTCCCTCCCCGCTTTAACTTACAGCATCCTCGCCTCCTTATGAGGCAATAACCTGCCACTCCAGCCTTCTTTCAGGACCAGCAACACCTCATACTTCCTTCTGCTTCAGGGCCTTTGCACGTACATCCCGTCTGTACATAGTCACTCCCTTCTCTAGTCCACGGCTGACTTCTGTTCGTCGCTATGGTCCTGGCTTAAATAGCACTCTAGGGACGCCGTCTCTGAATTCCCTGTCTACATCTGTTTCCCTGATACCGACGCATTGCCCTTTCACAGCACGCACCTCAGTTTGTAATTATACACTGCGGCGGATGCTTGTTCAACTGTGCTGAAGTCCTGGGCCAGGACCAAGATGGCAGAGCTGGAACCTGGGCCAGGACCTGAATGGCAGAGCTGGAGCCTGGACTCAGGCATCGTCTAATCAATGCGTGCTAGAAGTTTCAACTCTTGGTGGCTTCGCTAACTTGGGAAGTGGCTGGGGAAGCCAGGGCACCCACCAGAAGGTCGTCTGAAGGGCAGAGAGAAGGAGGACTGAGTTGTGTTGTCGAGGCTCTCACACCTCCCCCCCACAAACACACACCTGGTCCCGCCTTGGCCTCTCACTAGATAAAGCCCTCGCAGCCTGCTCCCGGTCCTTGCTCCTAAAAGCACGCATTAGTTATTTATACATTAAAATGCATGCCTTCCACTCACCCCAAGCCCTCATCCTTCCTTCTCTTCTCCGAGCTCCAGCAGAACCCTGCTCTGGACCAGGGTCTAGTCTGAACTCTTCCCTTTGCAGAGCTGGTTGCTGCGTGCACACTCCCAAGCCTAGAAGTTTCACACATCCCCAGGGTTCAGAGGGAGAATGTCCTGAGCCCTCCTTCAGCCCATTTTTGTAGCACTTGATCTGTTTAAAGCCATCTTCCCTCATGACCTCACTCGATTACAGGGCATTTTGAGAGCACAAGTTAAGGGGAAGAATTGAGGTTCCTGCCCTAACAATAGGGTGGCCAGGGTAAGCGATTAGAGAGGAGGGCGATTAGAGAGAAATCTAAGGAGAGCCAAAGGCCTCTCCCCGCACCAGAACCTGAGCTCCCAAGGGCGGTGTGTGGCTCAGCCAGGTCCTCAGCTCTGACACACGGCAGGTGCCCAAGGAGCACGGGCGTAAGGGAGGGCTTGCGCGTTCAGGGTCCCGCGATCCTCTCTCGGCCCGGAGAAATTGAGTTCAGGGTCTGAAGCACCCGTGCCGACTCTGTCAGAGCTGTGTGCTCACAGACGGACACGGAGACACCCGTCTGCAATGAAAAGTAGGTGCACCCCGTCTCCTGGTGGAAAAGAAAAGCAAGGGAAACGTTGGCTCAATTGATCCCTTAGGGCAAAACTGCAAGTGGCAGCGGCTTTTTGTCGTCTAGACCGGGCTCAGGCGTGCCGCCCTGTGCTTGTCCCATGGAGGATAGAGGCGGTGGCCTCCGAGCGCCGCCGGCGGTGCTCTGCAGTGCGACCAGGGCGGGCGAGCGGTCTCCTTACTCCGGGGCGCGGGCCAGCGCGCCCCTC